CCGATCTATACTTTAACCAAACCGGATTGTAATATAGATAAAGTAGTTGGTGATACCAAAAATATATACCAAACTTTGAAATCAAACTTTCTAGCTATTGAATCAAAATCACATTAATAATCTATATATTTTAAGTATTTGCATGTTGACAAAAAAAAAAAAAAAGTATTTGCAAAAACTCACCCTCATGGAATATTCTTTAGACTTCAAATTCTTATCTCCCAAATTATTGAATTCACTACCGGTCCTAGAACAGCCGACTCTTTTGGGAGATAGAGATTCGGCAAGACGATACTCATGCATTATCCAATTGGTTTTAACACCTTTTGGAGGCTTTCCTCTATAAAACACAAGAGCCTTTTTTATACCAATGTTTTCTTGAAATCCTTTGCCATTTGATACCGCGATTAGTTTATCTGTTCCGGTTGCTTTCCAATATCCAGACGCGGCCGCTCTGTTCGGCCGTGCTCCATTAGGATATTTTCTATCCCTCGGACTGAAAAAATACCACTCTTTCTCCCCAAACGGAGCCTTAGCTGAAACAAATCAAAGAACATGTTATAACACTAATCAAAATGTCAAGAAAATGAAAATATACATAGAAGAGAAATAATATACTGGTTAAGTAATTACCTGGTAAATCCCATGGATCGGATTTGTAGATATCGACATCGGCGATGATCGAAAGCGGAACTGGTGAAGAGGAAACCTTTTTCCTTAGGTAATGGAGAATGAGTTCTTCATCTGTTGGATGAAATCGAAACCCTGGTGGTAAACTTGATCTCGGATCCTTGCTTATCATTGTTTCTTTGGATGATATTTAGAATCTTGTATAAATAGAAAGTTTTGATTGAAAAAAAAGAACAAACAAAGGAGAAAAATTGTTTTTGGTAAAGAGCAAAGAGATAAAGAAGAAGTGAGCCAAAGATTGAAATTTTTCGTAGAGCAGGTCGCGAGGGCAATTTATGGTGTGTGGATTTTTGTCGTTTAGTACTTGTATGTATAAAGTTTTAAAAAATATGTATATAA